GGAAGGAAGGAAGGAAGGAAGGAAGGAAGGAAGGAAGGAAGGAAGGACAAGAAGGAAGGAAGCTTCCTGTATTGATTGGCTTCCTATTTCTTCAAATCCGATTCATCTGAAGCAGCTGTTTCTCTGCTTCAATTTTCTTGGACTTCCTTAAATTCCTGGCATAAAAGATGGCAAGACTGTAGGAAAAAACATCACACAGGACTCAGGGAGAGGCTGGAGTAGCTGTGTGTTATTAGATAAAGTCCATGTCTTTCTTGAGTCGTCTTCGGTTGTCTACATGAATCCACCCATCATCTAGATCAAAAATTAACGCCAAATTCCCTTGCTTAGATTTCCCCCTTTCAAGCCACTCACGATTGAAGCATATTTATCTTGGATGTAAGAAGTCCGTAGTTTTGTAGTAGCAGTTTCTGGAGACACAAGATGGGAATAATATTGTAGGCCTATAGTGATTCAGACGGTGTTTTTCTTTGACTTGCTGTTTCCTATCCCACTGGTGACTCAGAAAAGTCCTGCTGCTTAGAGAGAGGGGTGGGAGCGCCTTGGATTAATTAAACAGCTCTTTAAATAGGGGTCCTGCTGGAACTTTGCATTTCAGCTTTGCTTGGCATTTAAGACTTCACACGCTGCCCAAGATGAGCATCCTTGGGAAACTAATTCTAATAACCGTCAATTATAACAACGCATGACTAATATCCATTTTTTTTGGCACGTTTCTTTTTGGTTAATTTTGTCTATGGACATATTCTGCAGAGAGACTTAGGTAGAAGGCCGTATAAATGCCTAGCTACTTTTGTTTCAGAGTTTGCAGGCGTCAGCTATTGTCGTCCATAGAGAACAGAGCCCAGCCTTCTTTGAGTTTAAAATCCCTAAATGGTCTGTCTAGCAAGTCTTGAAATATGCCACATGGTGCGTGTTCATTTTGGGGAGTCCTTTGCATACCAAAAATGCCATTCAAGGAAGTTCAGTCTATGTACAAAAGTTCTTCTCACTCTAATCATCTTCCTGTGTTGCTTGATCTACATAGCAATGGCATGTAGACTTATATGCCGCTTCACAGTGCTTCACAGCCCTCTCTAAGCAGTTTACAGAGTCAGCCTTTTGCCCCCAACAATCTAGGTCCTCGTTTTACTGATCTTGGAAGGAGGGAAGGCTGAATCAACCTTGAGCCTGGTGGGATTCGAACTGCCAAATTCCAGGCAGCCAGAAGTAGCCTGCAGTACAGCATTGTAACTACTGTGCTACCAGGGCCCCATGGGTGACTCCAGTAGTTTCCTTAAGAGATGTGCTACTTAATGACCCTTCTGCTCTTTACACAGCCGTAAAAGCTCACCAACGTGCCAAGCACACCAACGTGCCTACCGTCCCTGTCCTATCGTTTCTTTTATTTTTATTTTATTTTTCTTATTGGTACCCGTTTCATGTATTCATAACTCTGTATACACTTATACTTATTATCTTGTAAACAATTGACAAAGCAAATAAATAAATAAATAAAGTAATCTCTTCTACACTCAATCCCTCTCTCTCCACTCCCGATTCTCCTTGAAATCCATCACTTCAGGTTATCATATGATCGGATCAGCCTCAGTTGAAGTGCATGGTATCCTGTGCTCAGCTGAATAGGAACATCCAACTTTTAAAATGTATCCATTGCTCAGGAGGTAGAGTTGAAATAATTCTAATTCTTGCAGGATTCAATCTGAGACTAGATCCCCGGGACCAGAAGTTTTGTCTTCCAGGTTTCTGGACTTGTGCTGGAGCCCATCCTCGGGAATTGTCTCCCTAGAACAAGGGTCTTTAAACTTGACGGCTTTAAGGCTTGTGGACTTCAACTCCCAGAATTCCTCCTCCAGTCATGTTAGCTCAGGAATTCTGGAAGCGGAAGTCCACAAGTCTTAAATTTGCCAAGTTTGAAGACCCTTTGCTCTAGAAATTTAAAAGATTAGATTTCTCTGGAGGAGATGTAAGGAGAACAACAGAATTCAGAACTGCGTCCACTGTTATCCAACAATTCTTAATCAAAGAACTGAGTATTGCTTATGAGATTTATGTGTGGTTGGCTGAGGAACAGGATTTGCCAATCCACCGTAAGACAGAACGTTAATTGTTGCACTTACTTGCTTCCTTGTGGTTTTTCATCCTGGCCATTCTAATTATCCTCTACTTTTTGTTTTCTAGGAGGCTCAGAAGATAACTGGCAATGGGGAGACCCAGGCAGATGGGGATTTGAAAGGCACAGATGAAAAAGAGGAAGTTGTGGCAGCAGAAGTGGGCTGGATGACCTCTGTTAAAGACTGGGCAGGGGTGATGATTTCAGCCCAGACCTTAACCGGCAGAGTTCTTGTAAGTTGAATCTTGTTTCGGTTTTTCTTTCTTTCTTCCTTTCTGTTACATTTGGATTCCAGGAGTGAGCTGGAATGATAGGCTCCATATCAACAAGTATTTGATGGGATGGTTGGTGGTTGCAATGACTTCATGGACTGACATAGTTGTCTCTGTGTGGAGGGGACAGCATGAAGGCAGGAGAGAACCAACTTATCATGGTGTGACCATGCACACATCATCATCATAATCTTTTAATGATCCCATAATCCCTTGCGGGGTGGAGTCTGGGCAACTGAATGGAGCTAACAGAATGTTTAATGGCCAAATGCCCTTCTTGTCGCCAGTGTGGAGTTTTGTTCAGCAGATATATTTTGATTATGCCCAGAGAGAGAAATATCTGCCTCTACCTAGGGTTGAACTCACGGCCTCCTGATTGTGAGGTGAGAGCTCCACCACCGCTCCACCATACACACATGATACAGCTTATAAATTTGTTATGGGGCCTTTTCATAATCACACCAAAGCTCAGTGATATCATGACACACATACTATCATTCTGATGTCACTGTAATTCATTAAGAAGATTGCTGGGCACGAGTGGTAATAAATAAGAGTTTTCAGATTACATTGCAAATGCTTGACGTTTATGGTAAATCATGACCATGTGAACCTCCTTCAGTTTTTACAATGTGTTAGAAAAACTGAAATGGAACTTGCCAAGTTATATTATGTTATTAGGATAAAATGCTATTTGATGGCCTACAGTTGCCAGACAGCACCTTCAGTGGTCCGTGTTAGCTTGAAATTTCAAGGAAGATCAGGAATTTCGGATAATCCATCCTTTTTATGGCTGTAATGTGGCAATCAACTCCAGCCTGACCAACTTTTGACAGTGATTGGGAAATTATATCTACTTAACCTTGTATTATCAGGAATTTTATATTTAAAATCAGGTTGCATGCTGCTCTTTAAACTGATGGTACAAAGAATATTAGATAGATAGATAGATAGATAGATAGATAGATAGATAGATAGATAGATAGATAGATAGATAGACAGACAGACAGATAGATGTATCTTAATACATAGATAAGTACATAGTAGGTAGGTAGATAATAGAGAGAGAGATGATAGAGAGATGATGAATAGAGATAGATAGCTGATATAGATAGAATAGAT